CACACACACATACATACACACACACACACACACACACTTTCCTGTTTTTACACACAAATTATCTCTTACAAACTCTCTCACACACAACAAACACACACACACACACACACATTCTGTCACTCACAAACTTTCCCATTCTCACACACACTCTCACTCTCTCTCTAGCACAGTTTCTTACACACACACACACACACACACACACACACATACACACACACACACACACACACACTGCACTGCGGTGTGATCTGAACATCTGGCGCGCACACACACACACACAGCTACTGTGAGGTCAGAGGTCATTGCTACATGATGAGGTCAAAGGTCACAGTGTTCATCAGTGATGAACAGAGCAGAGCTTCCTGCTCACTGCATGTGTGTGTGTGTGTGTGTGTGTGTGTGTGTGTGTACGTTAATACATACGTGTGTGTGTGTGTGTGTATTCGTGCGTGTATGTTCATGTGTGTGCGTATATATGTTCAGTGTGTGTGTTTGTATGCATGTATATGTGTATATATGTACATATGTGTGTGTGTGTTTGTGTAAATATGTACGTTTGTGTGTGTATGTGTTCATATGTGTGTGTGTATGTATCTATGTACATTTGCATGTATGTATGTGTTCATTTGTTTCTATATGTGTGTGTGTGTGTGCGTGTGTGTGTGTGTATTCGTGCGTGTGTGTGTATGTTCATGTGTTTGCGTTTACACTTTCAGTGTGTGTTTGTATGTGTATATATACGTGTGTGTATTTGTGTGTATATATTTGTACATTTGTGTGTGTGTGTATGTGTTCATATGTTTATGTGCGTGTGTGTGTGTGTGTGTGTGTGTGTGTGTGTGTGTGTGTGGGCCCTCACCGGCAGTGTAGTTCTGGGGTCCAGCAGCCCCTCTGCCGGGCCCTCTGAGCGTCTGACAGCTCTCCGCCGGGGCCGAGGGCGGGGCTGTGGGTGTGGCCGGGGCTGTGGGTGGGGCCATGTGTGGTGTGCCGCTTACAGCTGTTCGCCAAATACCTGACCACAGGAAGCAGCAGCATCAGCGCTCTGATTGGCTGACATACACAGCCAATGGGCACACAGATCTGCTGCTGTACGCCGCCGCGCTAGCTGTTAGCCGTTAGCAAAGCCATCAGACACAAGCCAAGCAGAGGGGAGTGTGCCCGGGTCGGCACGAGAGAGAGGTCAGAGGTCAAAGGTCAGAGGTCAGATTAGTGGACTGCAGAGAAGCGGCTCCAGTGATGCTGATGACGGACAGGAGAAGCTGCAGTCTGACAGAGGAGACCCGCACACATATATCAGTGTGTACCTACACAAATATCTCCAGCGTAAACACACACACACACACCAGCAGCACACAGACACTCTGTCACCACCTGCGCGCGCACACACACACACACATAATGTCGCTCTCAGTATACAACACTTTCTCTCTAGCACACACACACACACACACACACACACACACACACACACACACACACACACACACACACACACACACACCACCACCACCACCACCACCAACAGCACATGTGCGCACACACTGCCACCACCACCAGCACACATGAACACACACACACTCACCTTCACCACCAGCACACACACACAAACCACCAGAACACACACACACCACCAGCACGCGTGCACACAAACCTTCACCACCAGCGGACACAGAGAGCCACATCAACACACTCCTCAGTTAAGTGTGAGTGTGTGTGTGTGTGTGTTGATGTGGGTATGAAAGAGCAGCGTCTGCATGCAAACACACACACACTCGTACCTCTGCACGGCCTCCGGGTCCGGCTCTGCGTCTGATCCCTCCTCGTCCACCGGCGCCACGGCGGGAATCGGGTGCTGATGAACACACGCACACGCGCACACACACACACACACACACACACACACACACACACACACACACACACACACACACACACACACACACACACACACACACACACACACACACACACACACACACACACACACAGGTTTCAGGACACACTACAAACAAAAACATGGTTGCGGCTGGAAGTTAATGAGAATTATTTCAACACAGAGCATGTGGAGAGTGGACAGCGCTTCAGTTTCTCCACATGTGTTTATGTCACAGCCTTAATCCTCAGCATTCTCCACACAATCCCCCATAATGACCATGTGGAAGAGTTTAGAGATTGTTCAGATGTGTGGAGAATAAAGCAGCTGTATGATCAGATGTTCATCAGTGTTCTCAGGCTTTGCTCTGTGGTCGTGATTACAGCCTCGAGTCTTCCTGAATATGATGCTGGAGCTCTGCACAGTTGTCTTCGGGGATGTTCGCCTGTTCCTCTGTGCAGGTTCTCTCAGGCTCTCTCAGGTTGGATGGGAAGTGACGGTGTTCAGCCATTTTCAGATCTCTCCAGAGATGCTCAATAGGGTTTAGGTCTGGGCTCTGGCTGGGCCACTCGTGTGCTTTGGGTCATTGTCCTGCTGGAAGATGAAGCGTCGCCCCAGTCTGAGGTG